CTTCAGATTGGTGCCCCTGCTTTCCTAAAGACACACAGCTCCAAAGCCAGGTAGGGAAGTTCAATGGGGCAGGGGATCCCCAGCACCTCCGGCAATCACATCACACCAACTTGAGTGCCAAAATGGGGCTGGGGAAAGCTGAAGTCTGGACACTGGGCCAGGTGTGGGTGTTTAAGTTTTGGCATAATGGAGAGCACATTTGCAAAGAGGAATTAATCATTTTTGCCGATCATTTTAATTGTTCAACACTGCCTCTCTGCAAACTATTCATGAACAGACAACAACTTTCTCTAATTTAGTCATTAGTCCTAATTATTCATTCCATCTCTCCTATTAATAACATGCAGGCAGCAGACTGACAGCAAACAGCTCCATGCAATTATTTTGCTCAGTGAAGTTTGAAACACAAGCAGTGCCAGGTATTTCTGATGGGGCACAGATTGCCCAGTGCATCCCTGCCTACCCACCACGTGGCTATGAAATCCTAGAACCACATTTCTGGTGTGAATGCCCCTGTTTGCAAAATGAACACGTGCCAAGAAGCTGCTGGTTCCCAGACTCAAAGGCATTTGTTTGAATACCATTGAACAGTGAATACAAAGAAGGACCAAAGCAAATATATTTTACACAGCTCAGAAAATCACCAATCTCAGCTTTGCAGGAAACAGCTTTCTCTAGGTCCATAGCGTGTCTGTATATTGACAGTGAGAAAGTTTGCCACCTGAAACTGAGTGATTCATTGCAAGGGTACATGAGGAGTATCCAATATTTAATTACCATGTCAATTAGCTACATCACATTGCTTTCCTCCACCCACACCATGATCTAAGCACAGTCAGGCACCTGAGCAGTATTTGCAACCCTATGCCTTTCTTTCCCTGTTACCTGGGCAAGGATCCTGAACACCACCAAACCATCACTAAGGTATTTAAGGCTTAATAGTTTTCAGAGCATTTGAGGCTGTAGCCCTAGATTTCACCTTTAGCAAGAAATAGAAATTGGGATCTCCTTTATGCACATAGAGACTAAATTTAAAGACTCAAAACAGGCAAAAATTGACTGCCCCCAAGCATATCCTCATCCCCTGGAAGAGGCAGCTGCAGCATTAACTCCAGACAAAAATCCCTGCTAGAGGAAGCATATCGACTTCTGATGGGGAGAGCTCCTGTCTTGGTTTTAAATTCACTCAAGATGTAGAGTTTATTCAATTATCAGCCATCTAGAGACTGAAATGTGGCTTCGCTCCAAATATCAACCGGGCAGGGGAGATGATGACAAACAGGTTAACCCTTCATCTACCCTTCAGCTAGACAGAGGGTGGGCAGCAGGATGGCACTGAACAATCCAACACACATGCATCATGAATTTCCAAGGTTAAAGCTATTGGCTCAGTCCCTCACATGCAGAAAGAGCTTTGACACTGGCTATGCCTAGGAGGGCAGGTGGAAAAAAAAAATCCCTGTGGTGTGGTACCCAGTGGGAGGATGCTCTGTTCACAAGCCCCCTTTTGTAAGAGGACCCCGTGCAGCACAAAGAGCTCTCTGTCCTCAGGGGAGACCCACGGCTGTAAAAACAAAGAGAGACACCGGGAAAGCGTCTGGTTCATTATTCCCCTCTGAAAAGCTCTCCAGCATAAGGCCTTTTAAAGGAAGACTCTGGCTATGAGGGGGGTGTGGATTAAGACTGAGATTCATTGGAAGAGGCAAAGGGGGGAGCTGGCAAAATGTAAATCCTCACCAAACGCCTTGGGAAGCATGGAGGGTCTTGTGCTGGCAGCCAGGCCCACATGCCAGCACATGAGGCTCCTGGGAGAGGTCAGAGCTGCAGCACTTCGCTCCTCTAGGATGCATCTGAAGCACTTGAGGGGCAGCACTCCCACAGAGGTTACACCTTAATGCCACTGGTTTTGCTGGGGTTGCTCAGCCCCACTCACTAGTGGCTCTGGAGAGCAGGAAGATGCTGGAGAGAAAGCAAGCCCAACCAGCACAGCTTTTCCACATGCTGCTCAAAGTCTGTTTTCAGCCATAAATACCGTTTCTGCTGAAGGAGGAAGGTTATTTAGTATTTGGGATGTTAAAGCCCAAACCTGGTGCTTTCTGAGAGTCTCTTCTGTATTACACTGCTCTGACTTGGAGCTCTCAGCATCATCCTCACCGGGGCGTTCCTGCAAAGCGAGATTTGCTCTCGAGGGAACCGGAGAGCAGAGCCCTTCCCGGCAGCAGGAAGAGATGGGAAGCTGGATCTGTCCCCTGCGAGCGGGGTGGTAAATGGCCTCTTGCCTTTGTCATTACCTGGCAGAGATGAGTCTGGGAAGCAGCAAGCTGCACTAACCGGGTATGCAGCATCTTCGCCTGAGCTGAGCTTGCCCTCTGATGGCAAGCACCGGTAGTGAGAAGTAGCTTGCTCCCAAAACCATCCCCTCCCCTGAGGGATTTCCCTACTCCAGTTAATCGCCCTGGTGCTAAACCAGCATTTTAGGGTGCTGCTGCCATGAAGGCATCGTCAGCTCCCGAGCTGAGAATTGTCCCAGTGAGGGCAGCTTCTCCTTGGCCGAGGCAGCCCACGCTGTGCCCTGCAGGGCTGAGGGGGTAGGGGCTGGCAGAGGGCAAGTGAGGCAGTGCAGAGTTCCTGCAGCAGCTCAAAGAGGGTGACAAGGTCACTGAACTTTTCTTGGAGCACTAATTTAAGGGTATCAGGAAATATGAAGAAAAAACTGCTATGAAGACAGGCTGACAGAGTTGGGGTTACCCAAACTGGAGAAGAAAAGGCTCCAGGGAGCCCTTAGAGCCCCTTCCAGCACCTAAAGGGGCTCCAAAAGAGCTGGAGAGGGACTTCAGACATGGGAATGGAGTAACAGGATAAGGAAAAATAGCTTTAGATTGAAAGAGGAGCAATTTAGATTAGGTATAAGAAAGAAATTCTTGCCCATGAGGGTGGTAAAGCAATGACACAGGTTGCCCAGAGAAGCTGTGGCTGCCCCATCTCTGGAAGTGTTCAAGGCCAGGTTGGACAGGGCTCGGAGCAACCTGGTCCAGTGAAAGGTGTCCCTGCCCATGGCAGGGAGGTTCAAATGAGATGACAAAGTTCCCTCCAACTCAAACAATTCTAGGATTCTATGAACTTCTGCCAGCCATCTACAGCTTACCCAAAACAAGCAGCTGACTTTTTTGGGGGTCCTTGCAGCACTAACCCCTGTCACCTGCCCTCCAACCACTTAGAAAAACCATAGCAGGCAGGGGAAGCAGCCAAGGATCAGTGGGCTGCTCCATACAGGACAACAAGCCATGAGCCAAGGGTGGCCCCAGTACTACAGGACACTCACCAAGAAGGGTCCAGCCTGAGCACAGGAGGCAGGGCTGGCTGCTGGCAACAGGGTCCATCAACACACCCAGGCACAGAAGAGGAGTCAGGCCCAAGGTCCATCTAGGAACAAGATGAGGCAGGACCAGAGAACAGACTGCACAAGCATGAGGTCCCACCTACAAACAGGGAGAGACACCATTGCCCTAAGGATGACCTTAAATACAGTGCCTGGGCCAATTGCCAGAGGGTGCGTGGGTGCAGGTCCCAGGTGAAGCTGCTCAAGGCAATCAGTGCTTTTTGGTGCCCCCAAAGTCCTGACACCTGATGCTGCCTCTCCTCTATTTCTCCAATAACAGTCAGACCCCAGGACTCATCCTGTTTTTCCAAACCCCATTGGTCTGCACATGGAGAATCAATCACAATCAATGAAAGTGCACTGCAGAATGCTCAGGTTGGTCAACCCTCAGATGCTCATTCAACAGGCTTGAAAATACCAAGAAAGAGATTTCTCGAGATGTGTTTCACTTCTTGATTTTTTGAAATCTTACGGCTCACTTTTTCCGGTCTGCCCCTGTAACCATGTAGAACGGGCAAATACTTCCCTAAAAATGCTGCAGAGCAACATGGCTCAGAGAAACCCTGGATCTAGGCAAGCTGGGGCTACAAGAAAACATCAGCTTTTGCAAGACACTCAGTAAATCCTAACAGGTTGCAAGACTAAAGACAGATGTGAGAACCTCATGAAGTTCAACAAGGTCAAATGCAAGGACTTGCACCGGAGTCAGGGCAATCTCAAGTACAAATACAGGCTGGGCAGAGAATGGACTGAGAGCAGTCCTGAGGAGAAGGATTTTGTGGATGAGGAGTCCAACAGGATTCTGCCACATGCACTGGCAGCCCAGAAACCAACCGTGCCTGGGCTGCATCCCCTGCAGCACTGGGAGCAGGTGAGGAAGGGGATTCTTTGTCTCTGATCTGCTCTCGTGAGACATCATTTGCTGCATCCAGCTCTGGAGAGCCCAACGTCAGAAGGATGTGGAGCAGCTGGAAGGAGTCCAGAGGAGGCCCCAGAGATGCTCAGAGGGCTGGAGCACCTCTGCTATGGAGAGAGGCTGGAAAAGCTGTGGTTGTTGAGGCTGGAGAAGGCTCCAGGGAGACCTTAGAGCCCCTCCCAGTGCTTGAAGGGGTTCCAAGAGAGCTGGAGAGGGACTTTAGACAAGGGAATGGAGTGACATGACAAGGGGAAATGTCTTCCCACTGTCAGAAGGCAGGGAAGAAATTCTTCCTTGTGAGGATGGTGAGGCCCTGGCACAGGTTGCCCAGAGAAGCTGGGGCTGTCTCTGGATTCCTGGAAGTGTTCAAGGCCAGGCTGGACAGGGCTTGGAGCAACTTGGTCTAGCAGAAGGTGTCCCTGCCCATGGCAGGGGGTTGGAACAAGGTGGTCTTTAAGGTCCTTTCCAACCCAAACCATTCTATGATTTTTGCTGTCTATAACATAAAGGAGGGAGTTCTCAGGATATACCAGCACATGCTAATGCTCAAAAAACCAATTGCAATCCACTAAATAGACCTGTTTGAAACCATAAGGGCACATAAACTACATCAGTGCCATCATATTTTGTGGGAGAGAAATCACCCTAGACGTAGATACCAAATTCATCTTTATTAAAATGGTTAGTACATTTAGTCAAGGAGTTAATTTGATCACGGTTGTATTTAGACATGTGTATTAGCTGAGGGTGGGAGGGACAGCAGGGGCTGGGTTTGGCCAGATTTGGGGGTGTCCATGGGAGCAGGTAAGGATCAGCTAAGCCTCACCCTGCACTGTGTGAGAAACAGAGAGCTCAGCAGAGCTTCACTGTCCCAGGATAGACCTGGGCTTGCACAAACCAAGCTTGTGTGTGAGAGAAACCACCTCTGGCCCTGTGTACACCAAGCAGAGGGTTTAGTTAACATTTGCCCAGAAAGCTGATGCCTTAGGATTTTTAAGATTTTTAGCAAATATGGATTTTTAATACGGCTGTAAAGTTTCTCACACTTCAGAATAGCAGTTGACAGTCACCAAACCTGTTCTCACGCTTCATATTGAATTTTCTAAATTCTTTAGACTTGTTTAGTGGTCTTCTCAAGGAAAAGACTCCAGCAAACACATCTTATTTAGGACATATGCACCTGGACCGGGACAGCAAGATATCATTATAGGCAAAGCAACCTTGGAGGCCTTCATTAAAAGAGCTGCTCTCTATCTTATCTATACTAATATTGCTTGGAGAATTTTTTTCTTCCATTTCAGGCATCAAAGCCCATCTTTAATACAAGGTCAAAGGCTCTCAGAGGAAAAGGACGAGCCACAGGGGAACCTTCACTCTATCCCTGGGCACGTGCATTTAGTGTGGTGTTTAATAATGAGACAGTATCTTTTTTTTTCCCCCTGTAAATGGAATTTCATAGTTCTGAGCAGTGAATCAGGTATTTACACTGCTGTAGGTCAGAAATTAAGTCATGCTCCTCCATAGCTTTGCCTCAGGACACACATATTGAAACAGCAGTTGCAGGACATTTCTCTTCAGGTCTCTGTAGGGCCTGGAAACTTTGGAGACAGTATTTCAGTATTACAGAAGAATCACCAAACTATTCTAACCTTATTTTAGCTTAATCAAGTCAAATTCCTCTTCAGAAGACCTGAATGATGTAGCTGCTTGCAGTGTAAAGATGACTCTTCTCCCAGATACCTTTTCCTTTTGGTTGTTTTGTTTTGTTTTTTTTTTTTCTGTAAAAGATCAGGGCTTTTTAAACACAGCAGCAAATGTTAATATTTCAGTTTGCTGATTCTTCATTTCTCAAAGTGGGTAAGCCATTTTTGCTTAAAATCTCTATGCCAGCTAGGAGTTAGCCCGAGGCCGAGGCATAAAATTCCATCTGCAAGTGGCAAAGGTGTTATAAAGCATTGAAAAAAATCCTTTCTTTATAATAACTCTGTATAATCTTAACTATAATAGTTGTCACTAAGCCTCTTCCCTCTTAGCACTACTTGCTTCTGCACTATTAAACTAGAAAAGGAATTTAAAAAAAAAATCAACCAACCCAGTTCTCCATAGTTTCTGCTCTACTCATATCCCAAGCAGCCCGAGTTAACCTAAATTGTACATTTTAATGACCAAATATTTTTTCAAGTCAAGCTTTAGGTGATGACCAGATATGTACCTGAGTTTCTACATGAGCAATTAGTTCCAACCCCTTTCTCAAAACATCCTCCCTCCCCTCCAGATTGAAATTCAGAGAGATGTGTCCAGGTTTCTCCCAGTATCCCAGGGAGGGATGGTACCTGATGGGTAGGAACTGGGCTCCTGGACAGCTTTGCTGCAGGTTCGCTTCAGGAGAAGTTGCTGACAGCCTAATTTTCAGATTTATGGAGCATTAAGAATTCCCATTGACTCTGTAACCAGGTGATGGATCTGTCTACGCTTCATTTTTCTCAGCTATAAAATGGGAGAAATGGCATTTCTGTCACTGGCTAGCTGGGAGGTTAATGCAATGAGTATTAATAAAGTTCTCTAGTGACCTCTGGAACAGCAGTTCCCAAGCCAGGGTGGCAATTCCTTGCAGGGGTTGCTGTGCTCCTGAATGGACTGACAGACCCAGTGGAAATTAGGTGGTGGTGGTAGCTCAGAAATGGAAGCAGAAATAATTTTCCTAATGAGTCATCAGCAGTCAGGAATGGAGCCCGGGGCCTGGGAGGTGACTGTCACTTCCCCCAAACACATGGCCCTTGAGCTGCTCTGTGCAGGAGAAGTCTCAGTCTCCCTGCATGGTGACCAATGCAGAGCATCCTAAATGATTTCCAGGTCTGTGCTGCCACTGGGCATCCTGGCTACAGCTGCTGTAGGTAAATGGAGCTGCAACCAAAATGTCACAGACTCGGGGCTTATATTAAGTAGGATTTATGTACCCATAAGAGCAGAATCTTATATTGATATTAAGGTTCATTTATCTATAGACAGTACTTATCTGCTCCGTCCTTTAATGCTACGAGTAGTGTGTCCTCCCTCCTTGCAGAGGATCAGAACTGGTACTTTGCTGCCTGGGACATGGTCAGTGACCGGCTTTGGAGGCTGGAAAATACAGAAAAACTAGAGCAGATTCCTACAGTCAGTCTTACAAAATATAAGTCTGTCAGAAATACCCGTGTCTTTGTGTAAAATAATCACTAAGGACTGTTGCTGGAGACAGCTTATCCCAGAGGAACTGATTTGTTTGCAGCCTAAGTTTCAGGCCACTCAGGAATGGGTGATGTTTGCTGGCTGGGCAGGAGGTGCTTTCCTTGCTGTGCTGCACACACCTTTGAAGGCAGACAGACATATCTCCTTTAAGAGGACATACAAGGGTAACACCCAGATTAAATGAGGAAACACAAGCAATCCTCTGGGAGCAGGAACCTAGGAAGGGTGTGCTACATGAGGGTGCAGGTGTCCCCACACCAGGACTCTCTCCTGAACCTATCAGAAGTTGTGCTTCGATGCAGAATTCCAGCCTGGAGGCAGTGCAAGGGCACACTGCTGGCTGGAGGAGACAGGGAGAAGCCTCTCACAGCTGATCTATCCTGTTTCACCCTTGCACCCCTGCCATTGAGATTAATAGCAGTGTTGTCAATACTTTGACAATTCTAAATTACTGTCCAATACTTGGACGATATTAAATTAATTCTTAGAGCTCATTTTGTGCTAACAAGGACTGGAAGATAACTGACACATCCCTGCTCCAGCTGCGGTGAATTTTAAAACTGGCAGACTTTATTCATGTCCTTCTTCCTGCTACAACACAGAGTTATCTCCAGGAAGTAGCATCTAACCTTCCCTTAGGCTGCATACAGTGATCATGGAACTGGTAGTGCAAGGCAATCCCAGGAAAGAAACATCTCCAGGAGCCAGAGGTGGCTCAGTATGTACACGGGCAGTGAAATCTCTTCACTTAGAGAGTCTCCAAAAGCTCAGGAATTAGGGAGTTGTTCCTTAGGTGCTGAAGGTGCTGGGGGACACACTCACTGGCAGGGCTGTGGGTGTAGGGGATTATATATAGGCATAAGTGGGTATATATTTGATCTTTAACAGCTTTTACCTGTGTTATTTTTCCTCCCTGGAGCACAGTCAGTAAGGGCATCAGCAAGACTTTTGAAGGATCAGCCAGTATTTCAGTTCGTGTGAAGAATGTGGTTGTGCTATTGCCAATACTACTGCTTATTAATACTTTGTTCTTCCCTTGGAAGCCCGAAAGTCCATTGCAGACACTCATCCACAAGGCTTTTGATCCTTCTGGAAGACAAGGAACTGAGGCTTTCCTTTCTCTTAGCAATAGGAAACATGATGCACAAAGACACCGACAGTCAGGCTCAAAGAAAGGTCTAAATAACAGTAATTCCCTTTTGCTCCCACTGAAAACAGGGGGAATCGCTACATTTCAATGGCTTTATAGGGTTAGTCCTTGAGACCTGCCAGTCAGAAAGCTATTTACAGAAAGCAGGGGATAAAATAAAAATTAAACCCAGACCAAAACACCAAAAAGGAACTGTAAAAACTATATTCAAAAAAAGCCTGTTAATAACAGCAACAAAGAGTTAAATCATGGGAGCGGCTCTAATGGCAGATGTCAGCTTGTAAAGCTAAGACTGCTGACCTGGATCTCACAGGGAAGCTGCCTCTGAATTTCCTGGCTTGAATCAAATTCCTCAGAGAGACACTTTGAGTTTTGCTGACTGTCTTGTTTTTTTTTCCCAACATGGGGGACAAAAATACAGAGGCAAATACCCAGCGGTACTTGAGCACCCTTGAGAGGGCAGGTCAGGAGGAGCACTCCACAGCTCACACCCCCTTCGGCAGCACCTCCAGAGTAAACCCAGAGCTGGTTTTGGCTGTGCTTCCTTTGGGATATTTGCCACCCAGCATCCCTGCCACCCTGCTGCATGCCTGGGAGGTCTCCTGACCAACACTGCCTACCTGAAGCCACCTTTTTTTTCCCTCAGACCAGTTTAACCAGCTCTGATACTGGTTTTACAGCCCACTCAGGGCTCACTCTGCTGTCCCTACTGGGAGGATTGCTGCAGAGCTGATCTCTTTGGGCATTTTCCCATACCTGGGTTTACTATTACCCTCTTTAGGGAATGCCCTGGTGTTTCACCAGTTGCTTCTTTAACCCTAGACAGGTAAAGCTGACTGCAGACAATACAGTTACTCAATGCAAAGCAGGCAATCCATTTCCATAGGTTGTTGGAAGAGAAATGAAAGGGAACTGCAGGTTATCTCTCTGCAGTACTTTGGGCCAAGCTGAGGAGCTGACACGTACAGTGTTCTTTTCAGTTTGGCTTGCAAAAGGCTAGGTCTGGGGGAAACGTTTCCTTCAATACCCAAAACATCTCTGGGACATCGTTCATCAATTCTCTGTCCATTAACTTATGCAGAAAGTGGTCTGCCCTTGTTTCTGTAAAACCCTGGGCTGCTGTCAGGAAGCAAGAACACCCTGTGGGCCTTGCTATTAGGATTCCCACCTGCCCAGGCAGCAGAGAGCTGGATTCCCACCTGCCCAGGCACAGAGAAGCTGTGCACTCATTACCAGACACCTTTCACGGAATCACAGAATCATTAAGGTTGGAAAAGGCCTCCAATATCACGGAGTCCAACCTTTGACCAATCACTACCTTGTCAACTAGACCAGAGCACTGAGTGTCATGCCCAGTCGTTTCTTAAACACCTCCAGGGATGGGGACTCCACCACCTCTATGGCCAGCCCATTCCAGTGCCTGACAGCCTGCTCCATGAATAAATTCCTCCTGATATCCAGCCTGAACTTCCCCTGGCCAGGTTGAGGCTGTGTCTTCTTCTCCTGTCACTTGTTCCCTGGGAGCAGAGCCCGAACCTCCCCAGCTCCACCCTCCCATCAGGGAGTTGTAGAGAGCGAGAAGGTCCCCCCTGAGCCTCCTTTTCTCCAGGCTGAGCCCCCCCAGCTCCCTTAGCTGCTCCTCATCTTGTGCTCCAGCCCCTTCCTCAGCTCTGTTGCCCTTCTCTGGACTTGCCCCTCCATGTCTTTCTTTCAGTGAGGGGCCCAGAACTGGACACAGCACTCGAGGTGCAGCCGCTGTTGACCAGCACTCCCGGGTCCTTTCCCAGCTTTCCAGCCACTCTTCCCCCAACCTTTAGCACTGCAGGAAGCTGTTGTGGCTCAAGTGCAGAACTCAGTACTTGGCCTTGGTGAACCTCACACAATTGGCCTTGGCCCATTGATTAATTTTTTTCTGTGGGGCTGAATGATGCTCAGGAGGCGTAGAGCTGCCTTTCGGGGTACCCATCTAAGGTGTAAGTGCAGATGAAAAACCCTGTGAGAGACGGATCAGTCCTGGACCTTCAGTGGACCCTTCTGTGGCGCTGTGGGCTCCGGGCAGGCAGGGAAGGTATTTGAGGGAGAGCCTGGCACCTCAGTGCTCTGAGGGAGATCACAGAATTACAGGTTGGAAAAGACCTCTAAGATCATCGAAGTCCAAGCTGTGACCGATCATCACCTTGTCACCCAGCCCAGAGCACTGAGTGCCACGTCCAGTCTTTCCTTAAACACCTCCAGGGACGGTGACTCCACCACCTCCCTGGGCAGCCCATTCCAAGGTCTAATCACCCTTCCTGCGAGGAAATTCCTCCCCCGGTGCAAGTTAAGACTATGTCCTCTTGTCCTGTCACTTGTCGCCTGCGAGAAGAGCCTGTGAGCCCCCCCCCAGCTCCCTCAGCCGCTCCTCACAGGACTTGTGCTCCGGGACTGCGCACCACCAGAGGCGGTGTCGGGGGAACGGCCTCCCCGTGGCGCGGGCAGAGTTGCTGGCAGGCTCCTGTCCCACAGATCCCGCCTGGCTCCCTGTCCCTCGCCGGCGCAGCCCCGGGCCGTGGGTGTGTGTGCGGACCGCTGTGTGTTCGAACCCCCGACCCCGCAGGTGCCCCGGGCGCTGAGGGGAGGGGAGCGCGCCCCGCCCCGCCCCTCGGGGGGGCGCGGCCCCGCCCCGCGCACGCGCGGGCGCGTCGTCCGCTTGTCAATAAAGCTTGAACGAACCAGCGCTGCGACCGCCTTTCGGCTTTTTTTTTTTCTCTCTTTCTTTCTTTTTTTTTTTTTTTTTTTTTTTTCCCTCTTTTTTTTTTTTTTGCTCCTTTTTTTTTTTTTTTTGTTTCTTTAGAGGAACTTTATTGTGCCCCCGCCCCCCCCTCTTGCGCGCGCGCGGGGATGCGCTGAGGCCGCTCCGCCCGGCCCGGCCCGGCCTCGGCATGTCGGGCAGCCGCCCG